TCGTGATAATCTCGCCGTGTCTGTTTACGGCAGTCTCTCGTGATAATCTCGCCGTGTCTGTTTACGGTAGCCTCTCGTGATAATCTCGCCGTGTCCTCACAGTGATCTTTATCTCATGTTTCTTGTATCTTTTTGTGCCACATGCCAAAGGGACCAGAAATATCTACATATTTTTTCCAGACCACAGGCAGCTTGCACCCCTAACCTCTGCAATGTGGAAAAGGTTTTTTTGTTAAAACGTTTTTTTGAATTCAAATAAATTTCACTAAAATCAACTTGTTTCACTGTGTTGGTCATGTGTTACTGAATCGAATCGCATCGGCGTAACATTTCACATACTGCCATGTTACCGAATTGCTGCCTTGCTAAATTGAAACCGACAAAGCTTACGATTTACACCCCCGGTGAACAAGCTTTGTTGCTAGGCTACTAGTGACATGTAGCATGTATGTCTGCTTGTGTCAGCAAAGGGCTGCATAAATCCCTAAACCACAAAGCACAAATTCACCTTAAGATGTTACTTAACATTCAAGAACAGTCACGAGCGGAGAGGAAGTCCTACCCCGGACGTCCCAGTCAATATGGCGAATGTAGCTGGAGGCCCCTTTGCAGATGCCCACTCTCTTGCTGGTCAGAACATTGTAGATATCCACAAAGGAGTCATGGGAAGCCACTGCAAGGTATTTTCCAGAACCTGAAGCAACACAGGGATAGTGAAAGATCACAAGCATGTGATCATTGCTGATGACACACGTACCGTAGTAACAGCAGCTTAATGGGAATGATGATGACACACATTTCATCTAGAGCTTACAGAATTCTGTACCTTTAAAACACCCCACTCACTTATTTTCAGGCCATTTTCTATCATGAGATGAATGCTTAACTACAGAATCTCAGTCAGATTGAGATTTGTTTTTGTCATGAAAGTAGGATGACGGGTACCTTCTGAGAACCTGATATCGGAGATCATCTCCCGTCTGTGGTGGAACGTGACCATGTCCTCCAGGGTATCGGCGTTTACCACTAGGAAACTGCCATCGTTGAGGCCCACCGCTAAGACTTTGCCTTCTGGGGAATAGGCACAGCACCTTCCTCCTGGAAAACACACACACACACATGTCATAAATCAACACACACATTATACACACACAACCATACACCAACATAAATACAGTACCTTGATATACAGTACAGTATGCTGCCAGTATATTTGCACTATTTCTTATAGTCCATAGTCTGTAGTCCATTGTTGTATAACGTATATTGTATTGTTACAGCCTACCAGATGTGCTCCCCTCCTAAAAGTCTTTTTAGATAATTTTATCATATACCCCCCCACGCCCATAATCATCCTCATTGTTGTTCTCTCTGAATGCTGTTGTCCTGTTGTGTTGGACCTTTGGTCCCTGGAAGACGTTATTTTGTCTCACTGTGTGCTTTAATGTATATGGCTGACATAACAATAAAACTCTACTACTACTACTACTACCACTAAATATAGTACCTTAAAAAAGGTATTTTTGCATTTGATTTCCAATAAAGTAATAAAACCAAACTGGAATTTTCATGAAAAACGCCACACTAAGTAAACAGTACAGAGCTGGCTGACCCTGGCTGAAAGTGACATCTTCTCACCTACGTCCTCCTAGCTGTACCTCGGCCCACATTTCCTTACCAGCTGACTTTCCCCGCTTCCCAGTTACAGGCCAGATCATGCTTACCTTTCTTCAGCTTACGCACTGCCACCATGCGGTGGTTAGACAGCTCCCAGATGCGCAGCGTCCTGTCGTCACTCACGGTGGCACACAGGGGGAGCAGAGGGTGGGCGGCCAGGCCCCACACCTCCCCTTCCATGTGACCCTGGACAGACAGTCACATGATCAGAAAATTAAAGATTGAGTAAATTAAAGGTGTGGTGGGCACACGTCTTACAGACTAGGCATGACATTAGTGGATACTGTGAGGTAATTTGTATAACCCGCATCAGTGGACTGTACCAAATATCAAAATCAAAAATACCCACTTGTTATGGTTAACAAGTGAACTGTGAATACAGAAGTGCTGTGTATGCAGCAAGAGGAGTTAATTCTGGAAGCTGGACCTGAAGGATGGTTGCAGGTATGGCAGCCATCCCACAAACAGGGCTTCCACGTTCAATCAGAAGCAATTAGAGACAATCCCCCACACCCCTCCCCGGGGCACCTTGATGGGGAGCCACTTCCCAGTCTGAATTAAATTCTACATTGGTCTGGATAAGAAAATATGGGACAAATTGTGTCCCATATTGTTTGAAAATGGGATACGGGATCAACATGCAAGCTGACATTACTATTTTGTTTAACTTTTAACATTAATAGTTGGTTCTCCGTGAATTAAATGGTTGTGTCCCTAGATAATCAGTCAATACACGAATCAGGCAGAGGGACAGTCTCGGCTATCAATCTACAATCACGAGGACACACTTGAACCAGCAGAGTCATGGGGCCACTTTTGTCGATTTCCAGTATCTCTCCATTCTTGGTTCCCACCAGGATATGGCCCCGCCCTGCAGTAATGGCACGGATAGAGGGGTTATCCTCCAGCAGCAGCCCTGAGGACACAGAAAGAAGCCAACCTGTCATTTCAGAGCTAATCACCCATCTGGTGACAGTACACTATATGTTACTATATGGCAGCAGAAAATGTAACGGCTTAGTTCAAAACCCAGAAGTCACTCAGTGTTCATTTCGTCAATGAAAATTTTGATGGTAAGTATTCGTTGGCAACATTTTATTCCATGACTAAATTGTAACGATAATGTGAATGAAAAAATGGTTGACAACGAAAACTACGGTGAAATTTCTGTTTGTTATTTGCTTTTTGTTATTGCTATCTGTGAACTGTTCACAATGCGTTGCAGACACCCATCAGATATCTAACAGGACAAATATCTGAACCTGTCAGCAATTCCAAATCCTGTAGGTGTGAAAGGTGCTGCGACCGGCAATCAGTGCGGCAACGAGCCACAGCCAGAGAGAGCGCAAGACGCGGAGTGAAAACTGAGGGAGGATTTTAAATGCTTGGAGTGGAAGAGACTCTGCAATACCGGGTCGATGCGTGGAAGAGACTCTGTCTGCCTGCACAGTGGCTGTCTGCCTGCACAGTGGCTGTCTGCCTGCACAGTGGCTGTGTGCTGACTCCCGTTACCTTTGGATGCGGGGGACAGTGCCGCTCTCTTTATGGGGTAGGTCTTCAGACACCTGTCGAACATGTCATCCCAAAGTTCCACCACCCCATCTTTGCCTCCGGTTACAAATCCCTGAAAGACAAAGAGGAACACCTCAGATCCTCTACCTCAGTAAACTGATACAACTCTCAAAATGGATTTGCTTACCGGTGCTTGGGGCATCACCTAGGGGGTGTTCCACGAAGTAAGATTAAGGGAAAGTCTGACTTATTTCGACAAGTCGGGCTCATTTAAGTGGGAAATCCGTTGCATCAACGTGTCTTAAATAAATCCCTGCTGAGCTACTGTACCAAGGTAACTTAGGTGAGTGAACAAGTCTGCTCCGAAGCAGGTTAACTGTCTCGCTTAGTTAAGCGTTGTCTCAAAGAATGTCCGACATGTGGGAACAGATTACCAAAAAACCTCTGTCCTTTGAACTTATCTTCGAACGTTTTTGAAACAACAGGGAGTACATGTTACATTACAGCATACACTCTGGTCAAGGAATCAGTCCATCTAAAGGCTAACACTCAGACATGAACACCATGTCGATTTTCTTCTACAGTTCAGAAGCAACTCTGTGTTGGCCAAAAGTCATATATAATTATTAACAACAAACTGTGAAAAAATTGTCATTTGAGCCTTTTTATAGACTTCACAATGCCTTGAAATTTATTGAAAAATATAATATTTTGTATTGAATAGAACGATAATATGAATGTGAGGCACCTGTTACGTCTTTCTCTGGCTTTAACAATCAATAGCTAGCAGTGGGGTTTGACATGATCTCTTGCATCATAAAGGAAGAGTCCCCACTGCCCTGCTCTCCTGTCCTCCACCAGCCCGCCCCCCCCACTCCCCCGCCCCCCACCTTGTCCAGGGAGTACATGGCGAAGACGGGCCCGTCATGTGCCTTCAGGGTCTTTATGAGCGAGGTCTCCTTCCACACGTACACGTCTCCCGTGGCTGCCCCAGAGAACACCAGCTCCTCTGAGCGCGCATAGCACACCGACATCATGGTCTCCAGCTTGCCCAGGTTTCCAAACAGGCCCCGCTTGCAGGTCAAGCCCCCACCTGCACTACCAAACACCGCCATCAGGGGAATGGAAGTACTGCGGCGTGGGTGGACAAAATATCCCAGCAGCACCACATGAAAATGAATCACACCTGCTTTCAGGTGAACCGATTTTAGATTTTAGCTACTGTTAGCACAGATATCTCTACTAAGTAAAGATGAAAGCTCTCAGAGTCACGGCAGGATCAGATGAGCACGACGTACCTGCGTGGCTCCAGAACTTGATGTGCTTCATGCCCACGGTCACCAGCTTGTCCATGCGGAAGGGGTTACACTTCACTACAAACAGCTTCTCCTTGTGCCCCCTGGGAAGACGATTGGCAGGAATCATCGGCTGATTTACCGGACGCCCCAGAAAGGCTTTACTCTATACTATCATGGAAATGTGTCAGCCTGCTTCACTGCATACAGCAGGGGCCCACAGTCATCTCTGTGTCGTGACTCATCGCTGGCACTCATGTATGTGCAGAAAGGCTCGAAAAATTTGTCCCCTGAAACTCAGTTGTACCTAGTGGACGCCAGTTTCTCTCCCTTCTTCCAGTCCCAGATAACAATGGTGTGACTGTCATCAATGCCTACAGACACCAAGTTCTTCCCATCTGCTACGGAACAAAAAAAAGAGCCATTTTTACCATTTAAAAGTAAAACAATGCAAAAGATAATCTTACTGGATTGTCATACAGAGCTGTCAGAGTATTAGCACAAACTGAATGAATGAATGAATGAATGAATGAATGAATGAATGACACCTTAATCATTGTTTTCCTAAACATAGTGTTCAGTGGGCATGTCTTAGCTGCATGGGCATTTTAATCAGTATCCCTCTCCCACCAGTGGTTCATATCCACAAAGATGCAGTGTGAAAGCTCTTTGCTGCCCATCATGCACACTGTGCAGCGTGGTGACTGGAGGGGCAGGAGTCAAAGCCCATAGCTAAGGAAGCCAGCTTACCTGTGAAGTCCAGCGCACACACCCCTCTTTGGTGCTGACCTTTGAGGAGCGACAGGCACTTCAGGGTCTGAACATCCCAGATATGGATAGTGGCGTCGCGGCCAACCTGCAAAGATGATCATGGTGGAAGTGAATCTTGCCGTATGAATTGGCAGCATGAGTGGGGTCACTTAACTGGTTTCCGTGAAGGACACTGTTTTACAGTGGGTGTCTTTTCCCAATGTATACAGTTTGTTGCGTACGCATGCTTCTGTGTTTCGTCGTGGATTTCATTCAAATTCAGTGATATCACATGCGACTGCTGTGATAACCTGTAAATCGATGCTGAAACCCGGAGTCCTGCTAGTCATGGATTTAATTCATGCTGTGTGACGTCACACGTGATCGCTGATCTGCGATAACTTGCGTATCTATGCTGAGACTTGGAGTCCTGCTTGGAGTCCCCCCCCCCCCCGAGGCTCCTGGGCCGCACCTGTCCAGTAGCCACGTAGTCTTTGAGGGGGTGTATGACCAGGCTCAGGATGTCATCGTTGTGGCCCAGATAGAAACGGTGTGTGTGCTGCTCCCTGTTATAGACGACGGCCACTGCAGCAACGTGGTACACCACCTCGCCGCCCTGCGTGTAGAACAGGTTGTTCCTGCAGTCAGAGCCCCTGTACCTGTGGTAGTGCAGGGAAAAAGCAGGTTATTACCTCAGAACCGCACCTGACGGTCCAACAGCGCCACCTCCTGCTTCAGATACCGGGTCCCTGAAAGATCATGCTTTTGGGGTATCCACCTCAATTTATTGTTTTTACAGCCAACTTTCTTGGCTTAGTATTAGATATAAATGACATTGTTCTATGCTATAGCATTAGCATATGCTGCTAGTACAGTAGACATAGCTGTACCTTTATTTTAGCAAATGTCTAAAGGAACATAGAAGAGAGGCTCAGAGAGCAGACTCAGCCAGCACCAGTCAGGGTTTAGGCCTGGTCAATAAAGATATAGCTACTCTGGCAGCACTGAGATTCAAACCCATAACCTTCTAGACACAGGAATGTATTTGTAACCTGCAGAGCTACACAGGTGCAACAAGGCCATCCATAGCGTTCAGAGTAACCTGCAGAGCAGCCATTACCCATGAGCACACTGCGGGCACAGCCAAGGCAGAACAGGGCCATCCATAGCGTTCAGAGTAACCTGCAGAGCAGCCATTACCCATGAGCACACTGCGGGCACAGCCCAGGCGGAACAGGGCCATCCATAGCGTTCAGAGTAACCCGCAGAGCAGCCATTACCCATGAACAAACTTCAGACGGAGGCCCTCTTCTGGTGCCTTCTGGCGTCTCAGCAAACCAGTCAGCTCATTCTTCTCCTGGCTCTGCTGCTTCAGCTGAGGAAGGTCATCCTTGTAGACCTGGAGTAACACCCAGAGGGACGAAGGGAATCCAAGAAGGAACAATTCATCCATACGACCATGATGTATGGATACTGGGAAGTTAGCAAATAAAATCAGGCTTTGTTAGTCGTTTTTTTTGTTAGTCGTTTTTTTTGTATGTCAGTACAACCTCACCAATATAACATGATTGTTAATTAACTGTTATGTCAACACACTGGACCCAGAAATACACACAAGAAAATGAAAATCTGGTAGAGAAATAATGGTTTTTAAAATCAGAACTAAAAACATTCATACAGACATTCTTTTCAAGAGCTAAAAAAAGTCATTGCAGACGGTGGACAAAATGAACATTTAGGTATAATAGAGAGACAATCATGGAAGTACTGAACCATCCATATAATGATCATATTTTCCAGAATTACAATGATACAGACACATTTCCCTCCTGTCAGTATTTTCATTGCAAACTCAGAGTCGCCTGACACCGTGTCCGACACCATACCCTACATCATAGGTGGATGCTGTTCCCTACATCATAGCCTGACACGGTACCCTACACTGTATCCTGACACCGTGTCCTACACCATACCCTACATCATAGGTGGATGCTGTTCCCTACATCATAGCCTGACACGGTACCCTACACTGTATCCTGACACCATTTCCTACACCATAGACTCACACCGTATCTTACACCGTATCCTACACATAGTGTGATGTACTCTACACCATAGCCTACACTGTACTCTACACTGTACCCTACACTATATCCCACACCTTAGTCTACATTGTATCCTTACACCATACCCTATACTGTAGCCTGACACTGTACCATAAACTGTACCCTAACACTGTAGCATAAACCATACCGACACAGTAGCCTACACCATAGCCTGACACTGTACTATAAACCGTACCCTGACACAGTAGCCTACACCGTAGCCTGACACTGTACCATGAGACCATAGCCTGATACTGTACCATAAACCGTACCCTGACACCGTAGCCTGACACTGTACTATAAACCGTACCCTGACACCGTAGCCTGACACTGTACCTTACACTGTAACCTGACGGCATAGCCTGATGCACACCTCCCCAGAAGTGTAATTACAGGCTTCAGGCTACAGCATAGGGTACACGGTTATGTGGCTGGCCACAGCACAGGCTTTACACAGAAGTATAAATCAGTCTTTACACAGCAGTGTCCAGCGGGGGGAGGCAGTGAGTACACAGTGAGTTCGAGCCTCACTTGGGGCATGCGGTTTACATCAGGACTAATAAATTACGAATCTCTCAGGCCACAACTCTGCCATCAGACACTCAAGGGCCTCCTCGCTATTTTTTTAATATTCTGGAAAAAAAAAGTAAAAATCCACACTATCCACCATCATGTAACGAGTTATTAAAAAAAAAAAAAACAGTTTAATAATATCATCAAATGATGTGCACATTTTACTAGTAACTTGTGAAGAAAGAATGAATCACTTATATCTGGCAATATCTAATGCTCCATCTGTGAAAAACCTGATTATAATTGGTAGTGCCTGAGTTGAACCAATATGTCCTGTATTGTGTTACTGGAAGGTGGGATCCAGTATTAACAACCCACTGGACAAGGCCCTGATGGTTGTGATGGGGGTTAAAGCAGGCGGTGATTCAGGCTGTAGGTTAAAGCCACCCACCACAGGCTTCAGAGCTCAGCATCACAGCTTCACCTATTGATTAAAAAGGGTGGCATTTAAAGCACCTGAACCGTAATGCTTACAGTCACAAGACAGAGGAGGGATTCAAGAAATGGCCTGGTGGAGGAAAAAATTTCATTCTGGCGAAATAAAATTGAAACAGCCAAACCAACTCTATGACTTTGCCGCTGGTGACAAAATCTCTAAGATGCAGGGCGAGGAGTTGCCCAAAATCCAGGCAGTACGGAGATGTCTGGCCAACTCCAACTCGCTAAACTCACTAAAAGTCAGTCCCGACCCCACACCTACCTGGCGCTCGTAACTCATCTGCGCCTCTTGCTCAATATCCGAGTCCAGCTCGGGAACGTCAGACTGTTCGGAGTCGGACTCCTCGCTGTTGGAGTTGGCGTAGCCCTCTGAGAGTGAGAGATGAGCTGTGTCAGCGTCGCATGGCTTCACCACCACTGCTGCTGATCTGTACCCAGGCACCATCTGCTTCTCACCCTACGCTTTCGCCCTTGTACACATCCATCTGTCTGGTATTGTTATATGTGTGTGTCAGTGTTTCCCAACCCGGTCCTCAGAGTCCCCCAGACGGTCCACGTTTTAGCTCCCTCTCAGGTCTCTACTGTGTGCTTTACAGTATGTGTGCAGCGTGTGCTATGCTAAAACCTCCTACTGTAAATTAACCAGTTAAAAGTCCCGAATGTAAATGCCTATACGAGTAATAAATGAATATTGTATAATTCAGAGTTCTTTTCTACTCAGCAGACAAGCAGAGCTATGTTTGGTCCAGAGAGACGGAAATCTGAGTGAGCATCAACACAGAACGCCGTGCTCATTAATAACAGGCCTGTGTGTAATTTAACTTTTCAAATCTCCTTCTATTCTAACTCTTGGATTTGATTTTCATTTTATTTCACTTTTTTTTCTCCTGGTAATATGAAATGTATCTTGTCTTGAGAAGCAGAGGCAGCAAAAAGCCGTGATGAAAAGCTGACTTAATGCAAGTTTAAAAAGAAAACAACCAAAAGCGTCCAGTTTTGCCTGTGTGTCATAAATGATAAAGTTACAGCAAATGTCTCCCAACTCTCTGTTCGCCGCTTGAGCGTGAGTAAGGGAAGAAGTGAGTCACCTTGGAGAAGTGGTTCTAAGACACCGTTCATGATCCCCTCGGGCAGGAACCTCCACTGGAAGAGCGAGTGGTCCGCCCCACCAGTGCTCAGCACCCACTGTAGGTCATGTGACCAGCGCACATTGGTCACATGGGCAGAGTGGCCAATATACTTCTTGAATTTTGCACCTGTATGCAAAATTGAGAGATTCAGAAACCCACCATCACTACAGTGTAATTTTAAAACTCATACTGATGTGAAAATGGATTCAATCACTATTTATCCATCATATTTTTCATGCAGTGATCAATATTACACAGCAGAGCAACTGCAATATGCTACAGCACACCAACTCTATACCTACACATCAAACAGGTGTGGGATTTAAACGGCTACTGTATCTAAGGTTGAGACTAGGGGAAAGTCTGAATAATTACCGAAGACAATGGTCTCCTCTATGGTTTTATTTGCTATGCTGTGAATTGTGTTGTGGATGAAAGTTTGATCATAACTCATAGGGGTACCTTTTTTCACACAGGGGAACCGGAAAAGCTTGACTAGACCAAAATCATCCCCCGTCACCAGAACAGCGCTCTCGTAGTTGGCATCCACAGAGTTGATGTCGTTGACGTTGGTGTACTTGGGCCAAATCCCGTTCACCTCAGCTCCAAGTACTGAGGACCAGGTCCCCCAGTGTACCACCTTCATCTCCTCTTTGGAGAGCAGATGCTTCCCAGCTGAGGACAGGGGGAGAAGACCAGCTGTTTAATGCTTTACTGCTTTTCATTCTGTACATGGTAAGTATCCTTAGGCATATGCCTTTAAAAAATAGCATCCCTGCTCTGTGTGGGGGAGGCCATTTAATGGAAACCAAGCTAAAGATGCATAAACAGGGGATTCTACCAACGGCCTGTTTGTTTCAGTTGCATTATACTCAGTAAAATGAAAGGAGAGCTGCCAGATTTTAATATATTATGTCATGGAGAAGATCAGTGAAATTCAGCATTTTCTGCATCTTACAGTGAATATTCACTGTTTATGGTTTAAATTCTGATCCTTGTAAAGTTTTGCCCTGTTGTCTGAAAGCATATATGGTGACTCCCTCCATAAATCAGAAGCAGGATCATCCTGACAGGTGGCTTTGATGGGGCACGTTAGCGCAGCTTAGCCCGGCTCAGAGGGTATCCTGGGGGACCCACCCGGCATCTTGTAGCAGAGCCGCTCCCCTGCGCCGCTGTTGGTCTGCAGGAACCTGCTGTCCATAGACCAGTCCAGGTGCGTGATGAAGCTGCATGACCTGCTGCACTCGCCCACCTTCTTGAAGCGCTGCGACACAGAGTAGATGTCGACCACGCCGTCGTTGGAGCCCACGGCCAGGTACGTGCCATCAGGAGAGTACTTTATCTCGTGGATCACCTCCTTCCTGTCTTTGATGTGGACCACTTCTGTCATGTCCCTGAGAGGAGTACGAATTAAGTGGAAACAGCAGCCTGAGCTTAATGATCAATTAAAGAGTATTATATGAACACACTGTATCTGGGTATTATTATATGTAAGAACAAGAATACGCAAATGAAGTCATAAAAATATCTTAAGAGCCAAAGACCTCCAAAAAAACAAAAAATATATCAGTACGGTTGATAGTTTCTGCTCATAAAAATACTAGAGCATTAAAATTTTGTCTTAAAGCCTTCGGGGGTGGCTGAAGGTGAACAGATATGCTGACAGCACACTTCCGGCCGGACACCGAGCCCCTTAGGGAAGTGAGCAGTGACCAGCAGCCCGCGGCGAGTCCCACCTGACTCGGAGCACCGTGAAGGAGCCGTCCTTCATACCCAGAGCCAGCTGCACGCCGTCACCGCTGAAGGCCACACTGCGCACTGCCTGCGGCATGTTACAGCGTGCGACCAGCGTCCGGCTCGTCAGGCTCCACAGGCTGCAGTGTGGGGAGGGTCACTGTTACACTCACATCTCTGTACATTATGACTCCAAACCTACACCCAACCTAAAGGCCACACTGCGCACTGCCTGCCGCATGCTACAGCGTGCGACCAGCGTCCGGCTCGTCAGGCTCCACAGGCTGCAGTGTGGGGAGGGTCACTGTTACACTCACATCTCTGTGCATTATGACTCCAAACCTACACCCAACCTAAAGGCCACACTGCGCACTGCCTGCGGCATGCTACAGCACTGCAGCATTACATGCACATCCCTGTGTTTCAACAGCCAAACTATTCCTGCCACACCATGCTGAACAAGATAAGAAATGGGAGGGATGGAGAATGGATGGATGGATGGATGGATAATGATGGTATTTGGTTTGCTATACAATTTCAGACTTTGTGTACTCTAACATACACACACACACACAAACATGCATATGCACGCTTAAATATAACTTATTTAAAAATATGGCAGGCAAAATGTGAAAATATAAAACAGATGGATAGACCTTCCATTAGATATGGAGTATCTGCAGCCCTTATCTGCAAAGGGCCAGTGTATATGCAGGTTTTTGGGATAAACTTTATATTAGCTGTTCGAACCCAGGTGTGAGGACTCCTCAGTCAATCAGTCCACTAATTGTATTAAGTGGGTGGACATCATATGAGTCCCAGTGCTGCACCATGTGAGAACAAACGTGTGTCACTAACCGCACTGAGCGGTCGTCGCTGCCGGTGGCCACCAGTGGCTGTTTTGGGTGCACGTCCAGTGCCCAGAGCTCGCCCTCGCAGTGGCCCTGCATGATGAGCAGTGGCTTGTCGCGGTGCTGCACCATCACCTCGAAGATCTCACTGTCTTGGGTGCCTGCCAGGATGCGATCTGCCTTCCAGCACACACTGCGAATGGAGAGGCCTGCAGGGGGCAGCAGAGCATAGGGGGCAGGTGACTCAGAGAGTCAAAGAGGCTGTTAATAGAGAGGCCAGCAGGGGGCAGCAAAGTGTAGAGAGGCATGTGACAAGGAGCCAGAGACTCTGAGAGCCTGTGGATGGAAAGGCCAGCAGGGGGCGCCAGAAGGGCCCTGACACATCATACTATCAGTAATTAGGCACAAGTCAACGAACAGGCTTGCAGGCTCATTCATTAACTCATCTTAATTGAAAACGCTGGTATCTTGATGGTGTGCTGCCCTTACCTTTGTACCCGTGCTCGGTCTCCCTCAGGTCCACTTTAGTGATGGGCTTGAAGTCCACGTCCCACAGGCGTATGCAGCCATCACGTCCGCCGGTCGCAAAGCCCTCCTCACAAGCGTACATGCTGAAAATCCCCGCCTGGGAACCGAAAGGGCATGAGATCACAGCAAAGGGAAGGGATGACATCATATTCTGCGTCCATATTTTCCTCACAGGCGTGCATCCTCACCGGCATTCCACAGTTCTTGGTAAAACCCTCTAAACCACCTTATCGGGTTTGCAGCTCACCCCTCCTGTGCTGTGTGCTCACATGTGACCCCCACCTGTGACCCCCACCTGTGACCCCTGCTTCACTCATGCCTGACTCTTGTCCCCATCTTTGCATGTGTAGGAGCAGCGACAAAGGTGGATGGCACCCTGGCCGCCTGCCTGCAAAACTATGGGTTTGATTTCCACCCCAGCATTCTGGGAGTCTGCCTTTTGTGTGGGCTTGTTCTCGTAGTGAATCAGTGTCTTTACGTTGCCCAGAATGTGTGTGTTGTGCGCGTGAGAGCTGTGACCGACTTGTGCGCGTGAGAGCTGTGACCGACTTGCGGCCTTCCTGTGAGAGTCTCCAGAACTGGATAGACAGTTACCTATAAGACTTAATGAAATGATAATTGTTGAAAACTCAGTTATTACAGTCTTTATCAATGGCTTTGGTACATTTCAGCAGTAGTGATACAATGCACCAGTTAATATAGAATATAATTTACAGAGAAAGTGTTAAAGATAAGATATGTGCAGTACTCCTAGCTTTCTTGGTAGTTTTGATTGCTTTGGCGCATTTCTCAAATAACAAATAACATTTGCAAAACAACAAGTGTAATCCACACACACTTCATAATAATCATAACTTTATTAGTCCCCATGGGGGAAATTATCTTTATGCCTCCCATGACTTGCAAAGGGCAGCCACCTATAGCAGCGCCCAGGGAGCTGGGGGTTAAGGGCCTTGCTCAAGGACCCACAGACGTGCTGAGGCTGGGTTTGAACTAGGGATGGCGAAAACTAAAAAATTTCTTGACCGACCACCGAGCCTCAGTAGCCGGTTGAAACCGGTTAACCGATTAGTTTAAAATATGGTACGCTATTTGAAATAACAGCCATTTCTGCAATTTCGCAACTCTGTCGCATCTCTCTGCCGCTCTGCCTCCCGCACACACACACACACTGCCACTCACGTCACTTTTTTAAAATCCCCTACAGCGCGAAACATGAGTCCCGCAAACGCGGCGCCGAAGAGCTTGTTGTATGTAATCGTAGGACAAATGGCTCCTTAGTTTCAAATGGTTTGGGTACAAGGTGATCGCTTTGAAAATAAAGGCGTTTGTCTAGGTTAGAAGCTCATTTGAAACATTGCCACGGCTCATTTAAGAAAATGACAGCTCCGAAGAGACGCCGCTTTAGTTGAGGTAGAAATGGTCCCACACACTACTTTTCTTTGCACGCTTCATCCTGTCGTCTGCCCTGGCTCTAACCTCGAGTGTTTTAGCCTGTTGCCTTTCCTTTTCGCAAACCTTGTGAGCGCGCGAACCCAAACGCTGTGACCTCGCGCCAAATGTTTTTATTGGTTTATTAAGTACAAACAGGCGAGTTATGAAAAATTGAGTGTGAGGGATAATTTGTTCACTTAACACAAAAAGATGAGGAATGAGATGGCTAACTGTAGTAGCGTATAGTCCACTGTCTATAATAGCCTAATTTAGATATCACTTTTTTTTTTAACCGACTACCGACAACTTTGACCGGTTAACGCTGATACGGTCAACCACCGGTCAAACGGTCATCGGTTAACATCCCTAGTTTGAACCAGCAACTTGTGATTACAAGCACACAGGCTTAGCCCACTGAGCCACACGCAATGTCACTTTTGCACAACAGAACGTCATCTCATTGTTTTACACAAATTTACAAATGTTTTAGTACATGAATGCACATGGTGCACACAGCGTGTTGTACGATGGGTGCCGTGCAAAAAGTACTGTATTGTATGGTACTGCGATCATGCCAGCCTCACACGCATCTCCCAGTCTCATTCTCACGCCTGCAATTATCCTATTCTGAATAATGTCCATGTACAACAGGTCTATCGGACCAGAACCCATGCGAAAGTCGGGAACAGTCAGTATACCCGCAGTGCATGGAACCGCGCAAGTCGGGAACAGTCAGTATACCCGCAGTGCATGGAGATGCGAAAGTCGGGAACAGTCAGTATACCCGCAGTGCATGGAGCCGCGCAAGTCGGGAACAGTCAGTATACCCGCAGTGCATGGAGCCGCGCTGCACATGAGGCTACGTAGCCATGGATCGGACTTATCCAACGCATCGCACAGACGTTCGACACCTACCCAGCCATCCATATGATGCAACAGAAAACAGCTTTCATCAGACCAGGTGACCTTCTTCCATTGTTCCAGTGGTCAAGTGCCAACACTTACATGCTCATTACAGGTGCTTTAGACAGTGGACAGGGGTCACCATTGGCACTCTGACTGGCCTGTGGTTACATAGCCCCAAACACTGCAGGGTGCACTGTGAGGTTTGTTGTGACACATTACTACCATGACCATCATTAAAATGATTTGTCATTTGTGCCCCAGTAGCCCTTCTGTTGGTTTGTACTACACAGGATAGTCTTCATTCACATCCCGCGTCAACAAGTCCTGCCTGTGCAACATCCTGTCGGTGGATCGCAGTTTCTCTCCCCTCGGACCCCTCTCAGTAGGCACTCACCTTGGCTGACTGTGTGCACCACACAAGCCTTGTGGTTTCAGACATGCTCTGACCCGTTCCTCTGGCCATAATGATCTGACCCATGTAAAAGTCACTCAGGTCCTTATCCCTACCAATTTCTTCTGCATTCAGCACATCAACTTTGAGCACCAAATGTCAGCTTACCATATAATAAATCCTAAACCTTGATACACATCATTTTTGCTAGATAGCTATCGCTGCTCACTTCACATGGGAGTCGGCATAATGTTTCATTGGCGTATATACTGCCTGTTTTCTCTTTTACCTTTGAAGAAATAAATAGCACAAAGTTCACATAATGTGCATGGCGTCAAAAAACTGTAGGCCGGGAAACAACACGAAGGTCAACAGAAGAAGCAAGAACAGGCATGTGTGTGGGGGGAGGGGGGTAGATGCCTGTAGGTTGAACGTCCCTTTTTAATAACTGACCATCAGACATAATATTCTGACACCCCCACCTGGCCAGCAGAATGATACAGAGAGGACCCCCCCCCCCCCACATCCAATCACAGGACAGATCATAGGGCAGGCAAAACTATAATCCCATGTGTCATCAACAGTTGTTGTGAGATTGTCAATGTAAATAAAGTATAATGAGATACTTCAACATCCTGCAGTGATAAAGCATTTCAATTCTGTGAAGCCTCCAGTGAAAATATTTTTACAGACATGAAAACTCTGCGTGACTGTGACAGGCTACAGGACTCTCACTCTGACTAAGGAAAAACAGATATAGAAAGCCTCAGACCCAATTCCACATGCTCCTTTCCAGAGTAAGAGGATTACTCACTGGCTATTAACAAACTACAAAGTGGACTGTGATTCTGTGTTATGATGCAGCATTTGATTTTTATATATGATATTTATTTTGTAGTAAATGATCCTAACATCTGGCATGTAAAATGGGATTAGCTTGAGGGAATGTTTTATGCAGCACTTGCAATTTAACTGCTAAACACTAAAAGGCTTGACTGCGAGTAAGGAAACAGCAAGGAGGAGGTGCGGTTCCTGTTCACTCACCCCATGCGCGGCCTGCAAGGTGCGCATCAGATTGGGCCCCTTCCACACATAGATGTCCCCATTCAGTGCCCCTGAGTATGTCACTTCGTCCTTGGCACAGGCCAGGCACAGGATGGTCTGCAGGTCCCCCATCTTCCCAAAGACACCCCTTTTGGGGGTCAGTGCATTTCCACAGAGAGACCAGAACTGTCAGTGAAACAACACGGCAAGGAAAACCTTACATGCAATGCTCAAGTAATATATACAGACAGAGAGACAGACAGAGATAGACAGGCAGACAGACAGAGACAAACAGACAGAGATAGACAGGGAAACAGATAGACAAAGACAGACAGAGAGACAGGCAGACATAAGAACATAAGAAATTTACAAATGAGAGGACGCTAATCGACCCATCATCTTAACTAATAGCTCAGAGTTGTTAATCTTATCTAGCTCTGATTTAAAGGAACCCAGGGTTTTAGCTTGTGCTACACTAACAGGAAGACTATTCCATACTCTAACCACATGCTGTGTAAAGAAGTGTTTTCTCAAATTCAGTTTAAAATGTTCTCCTGCTAATTTCCACCTATGGTCACGAGTTCTAGTATTTAAACTAATATTGAAGTAGCCATTTGGCTGAACAGCATCCAGACCTGTTAGAATCTTATATACCTGGATCATGAATTGGTCTTATCTTGTCTTACATGTATGGGCATGCCTTGCCTCGTGAAAAAAAAATTGTTTTAATATATTTTGTTTAAATAGAGAAGTCAAAAAGCCTCGATGCAGGACACAAACCTACAGTATGTGGTGCTTTTATGCATTTTCAACTTATAAACAGGTCGGTGCCGACCCTAACACAATAGCAAGGTTAAGCAAGAGCCATTTGTTGGGGACAACATCAAAGGCCTTCTGGAAATCTAAGTAGATCACCTTGTAGGCCTTTTTGTGATCAATTTCTCTTGTAGCTTCCTCAAAGAACTCAATTAGATTAGTTAAACAGGACCTACCTCTCCTAAATCCATGTTGGCTATCCCTCAGAATGTTATTTGAATCCAGGTAATCTACCATTTTCACTTGGATTATAGCTTCCATTACTTTTCCAGTTGAACTGATTGGCCTATAGTTTGCTGGATTACTTCTATCCCCTTTTTTGAATATGGGTGTTATATTATCATGCTTCCAATCAGAAGGTACCACACCAGCAGATTATAATTTCTGGAATAGTCAAGTTAAAGGTTGGCTAATAATATCCCTCATCTCTTCTAAAACCATAGGTAAGATGCCATCAGGGCCCTGCGATTTATTTATTTTGAGCTTAGCTAGGTTTAGTACCACATCAGCCTCAGTTATACATATACTGGTCATAGACAACGCTGTATATGTACTAAATGGTGGTAAGTTACTTGTGTTCTCCCTTACTATCCTGCAAATTAGTGATTTCAGCTTTTAGAGCTCTTTTGGAGTTAAAATATTGGAAGAAACTTTTAATGTCATCCTTAGCCTCCAATGCAATCTTCCTTTCTACATTCCTCTTGGCGCGTCTAATGTTATTTTTTTAACTCAACCTGTACACTTAGATACTCCGGCTTTATTTTGAAATTGTTAGTTATTTTCCATTTGTGGAAGAGAGCCCTTTTCCTCCTGACTTTATTCTTAATTTCCATAGTAAACCAGCTTGGCTGCAGTTTCCTAGATTTAGTTTTGCTGGAAACAGGCATGAAGTCCTCTTGCACTTGCAACGTGCTTTTAAAAAATCCATATGCCTCTTCAACCGTTTTGTTATTTAACTCCATCCAGTTTACAGTTCCTATTTTCAGTCTCATACCATTAAAGTTAGCCTTCCTAACATTGTATATTTTGTTTTGGACTTTGCTCTTCGGACACTAAAATTAACCTCGAATTTAACCATGTTA